TTCTTGATTATTAATTATGTAGGAGGGTCACATAGGAATGAGCATTTCACAGACACTTAATCCAGACAGAGGATTTTTTTAACATTTGTTTTCTTTCTAAATTTATAATAATTTGCCTGATTTTGAGACTCTGCTGATAGACAATCAATATATAAGTTTCCTTCTCACTGTAACCTAATGCCCCAAATGTAAAAGATATGTGTTTTTTCCCATCTGGATCCAGATTTTCAGCCTAGCCTTGAGCTCACTGGACCAGACTATAATCTAGTTAAAGTAACTGGTTCCTGCACGTGCGTAATCCCCTCCCTGATCTTCCCTGCGGCAGTTCCTGAGATGTCCTTGTAGCACAGATCTTCTTGGTGTGGTTCAGCTAGACTTGTCTAACAACTTACCTCTACAACTTCCTGGGAGAGTTTTAAGTTGTGCGTCTGTGTGACAGAGATGCGGCTGGGTTTTATAGAACTTGCCTTCCCTCGTCCCTTGCTGAAGATAGCTTGAAGGGGAGGCATTTTGTAAAGCTATGTAAACATTCATGTTCCCTAAGATCAGAAACGGTACAAGGAATGTCCCAGAGAATCATCCTGTTACCTTCTATAGGTTTTCCATAATCTATTCTGCTGTGTATAATAAGATTTATTCACAGCCTAATGTCTCTAGGAAAACTGGAGATTTCACAAGAAGTCCATGATAAATATTTCCACAGTTTGCTTTCTTCTCTCATCGACCCTTGGAAAAGATCAAAGACTACACCGTTGAGATACATGACCTGTTGCCTGAGGTGACTGGATAGGACTGTTGGTGGGGCCTTACATGAGGGGTGGAAAACAGAAGTATTGAAACGGGATACCAGGGATTGGCCCAGAAAAGCCAGAGCTGACTTCCATTTTCCAGGGCATTGTGAGGTTTCAGCATGTGATGAATGCAGCCCTGTACTCCCTCTATACTAATGCAAAAGCTTAGAGGAGATGGGGACATGATGCCCCTTCCAGGATGGAACCAAACAACCACACAACCTAAACACAAGCCACATGCCTTCATATGAAAGGGATGCAGTGCCTATTTCTTAGTCAGTAGAAATATTGATGTCTTTTCAAACTCCAGTGGGAACTCTTGGGAACCCTGTTTCTCGGGCAAGGGGTATATTTCAGTGTTTTGGTTTTAGCGGAAACCAAAGGATGTGCATACTTGCTGTCAATGCATACATATGGCTCTTGACTGTTTCCTGTTTCAATCACATGAGATGCCTGCTTTTCACCTTGGATTTGAAGTTGTAAAGTAAAACTATTAAGAATATTGTTTAAGTCATAACTTAATAATATTAAAGAATCTTAATAAACTTTTATGCAATGATTTTCAGAGATTCAGGAAGAAGTTTGCTGTGTCTTTTAAAATATTTATTATTTTTGTTTTATATGTGTATTCTGCTTGCCTGTATGTAAGTGTACCACATGTGTTCAGTGACCACAGATGCCAGAAGAGGGTTCAGATCCCCTATAACTGGAGTTACTCACAGATGTTAGCCACCATGTGGGTGCTGGGAATTGAACCTGGGTCCTTTGGAAGAAGAGCCAGTGTTCTGAGCTACCTCTCCAGCTCCATCTATGATATTTTAGAAAAAAAGTTTATTTATTTTTATTTTTATCCTCCCTGACAGTGAATTTTATTTCTAGAAGTTGAATCAGGTGGTCTTTATTTTCTAAAACAGCACAGGTAAAGTTACACTGGGGATGTAGAGGAGCAATGGAAAAATGATGAAAGCTGTTTTCATTCCCAACTGGGGATGGGAACCTGTAATGCCAAGGCCTGGTGCCCAGGGCTACATGTGAGTCAAGGCCACAGTTGACCATCAAAGGAGGTGGGAAGTCTGTGAGAATCAGTCCTCTCAAGACCAGAATCTGTGAAATACAGAACCCTCCCTTGTCCGCAGGTAAGCCCAAATCAAAAGCCAAGACAACGCTATGCATGACCTCTAGGGAGGGGCTGCGGAGCATGCAGGCACTCAGAGAAGACTGACACTGTCTCCCAACATCCAGGAATCCTCCATCCCCCAATCTGCTCTACCTTCAGCCTGCCTCCTAAGAACCAAGGCTCCTGGTTACTGGTTGGGGAGCTCCCGGTTCAAGGGAGGGGACCACGGCTCCAGTTCCATGGGAGGGGACCACAGTTCTGTCTCAGAGGAGGGAAACACAGAGCTTTGGCTTTTTTATCTGTAGCCAAAGCCTCATTGCCAGGCACAGTTGTCATAGGGAAAGTACCCACATTGCTGGTAGCTGGTTGATGAGCACGGTTTCTAAGAACAATTGAAATGTTAGATCATTAAAATTCCTGTACAGTTAGCTTTGAAATCACTTCACATTTATACTATAATCTATTATCTTTACTTATATTTGAGACAATAATCTTCACTCTTTAGGCTTAGAGAATTACTTCAATTGCAATGATAGTTCAGGAAAACAGAATTTATAACACAAGTAATAAAGTTTCCCACTTTTTTCTACCAAGATACGATTTTTCTATACAATACAATGTATTTAATCTGATTCTTGAGGGTTTTGGGTTTATTGACTAAAAATAGAAAATACAGAATGCTGGATAGATAGTTCGTTTGATTCTATAAGATATATATACATATATATAATTTAGATTTTTATAGAATTTTTGTGAATTTATGTTTAGATCCCTTCCTTATCTTCACCTCCCTTTACTACCCATGCACAATGTCATGCATTCTATTTTATTTGTATATGTGTGCATATATATGTGTGTTGATCTCTCCCTCTCTCTCTCTCTCTCTCCTCTTTCTCACTGACTCGTTTGCTCACTGTGTCCTTTGGTATTGCTCCATCTACTGGAGTCCTTGCAGATGAGGTGGTGGAAAGATTGTCTGAGCCAGGGTGTGGTGGGTGACCACAAGGAAATGGTTTTCCAGACAGCTGATCAGTTTCTCATATGAACTCATGAACTGACAGCAGTGATAACAAAATCCACAAGTCCCACATAAACTCAATCCCGACAGAATTCTGTCAGCATAGATGGGAAGGAGTAGACAAGAAACCCCAGCTCTATCTGAGGAACCCAATGGCTCCTGGGAAGGGGTGTCAGTTTCTTTTAAGGTTTGGACTCTTGGTAGATTAGCATGCTAAGCATTTTTAAAAATAAAACAATTTAAATGAAAATTAAACACCTTTAGAAAATCACATGAACTGGGTTTGGGGAGAGTCAATTTTCTAAATAGCAAGTAAGGAAACACATCCATCCAAGCTATTGAGTAATAGTCTAAGCAGAAAAATGACATTCTTCTGTTTGGTGCTACCTTAGGAGATTTAATAAGAAAACCATGTTTAGGACTGATATGAAGATTCAGGTCTCTTTTATGTGGAAGCTAAAGAAAAACCCCTAATTCCAGTTCATAGAGACAGAGTAGACCTATGGGTGTCAGAGCAGAAGAAGATGGTGTGGGAGACAGGTAATGAATGTTCAAGAACAGCTAGTTGGATTTCTTTAAGGATGTGTATACAGATCTAGAGCACCACAGGAGTCCGTAGCAGGCTCTCAGAAATGAAATCATCAGTCTTATCATCCATAAGCCCTGGGAGCTACAATAACACTGATCTGGCAGGGTATGCCCACTAGACCAGTGGTGGCACAAATGTTATGCCAGCACCCAACTGCTATATGATTGGATTTAAGGACCACATCCCAGGGAACTCATATCTGGAACTGTTTTCAGGGCCAATAAACTGTGGCTAGACAGGTCACAGTTGGTAAGGG